CTTGAAGGCCTGCTCAATAGCTTCTGGGATTGCTGGTGTTTCTTTTCCGTTTGATTAAGTGCTTTAAAAATTGATCAATCTCAGTAAAATATTGACTTTTCTTCAGTGGACCGTTGAGGGAAGGACCATAGCTCCTCTTCTTCAGAGGGAAGCTTCCGAATGTCCCCCCGTTTCCCTCTGCCCCGAGCACCTGCTGTTACAAGCAGGTCAGAGGACCCCCAATGTCAGCGTCTGCGACTGTCCCTGTGTCCCACGTTCCCGAGGCCCTCACCACCTGCAGAGGACCCCCAATGTCAGCATCTGCGACTGTCCCCATGTCCCATGTTCCCAAGGCCCTCACCACCTGCAGGGGACCCCCAATGTCAGCATCTGTGACTGTCCCCGTGTCCCATGTTCCCGAGGCCCTCACCACCTGCGCTCCGGCTCAGACCCGGGAGCACGGCAGGTGGAGGAACATCAGCAGGTGACACTGATGTTCCAGACTCTTCTACCCCCCGTTCACCTCTTCATCTACGCAGGGAAAGTAACAGCTGCCGCCCACCTTGCCCAACAAGGAGCCTAAGTGACTGACAAGCTCTGTGTGAACCGCAAACCACTCAAAGGTAGGAATTAGAAAGATCCCTTGATGTACAAGATCATTAGAAATAACACGAGATCATATAGGAAAGTAACTATAAAATAGAAAAAGCTGCAAATGATGTATCTATGACAATTTACTAAGGAGGAATAAATTATTAAGCCCCCTCCATCCTCCAGTAATAGAAATTTAAAGTACAATCTAGAAAACAAGACAGAACTTTCTTGAAGAAAACATCTGTCTTTTTCTCTAAGATCTAAAGAGACAACTGCAAGGTGGGCCCCGTTGTCCCAGCCTTCTATCCAGCTGTGGGAGGGCAGCCAGCACCATCACCTGCCCCTTGTAGTTGGTGGGAATGCCGCCCATGTTATAATGCACGGTGGGGAGGACAGGGATCGGCTCCTTCGTGACGTCCACACCAGCGAAGATCATGGCTGTCTCTGAAATGCCGGCAGGAGAACGAGCCTCTTGGGAAGACAGAACAAACACCAATCACATAAGGCAGAGAACAGCCCTCTGGGAAGGATGTAACAAACACCATCACATAAGGCAGAGAACAGCCCACTTGGGAAGACGAACAACACCATAACAATAAGCAGAGAACAGCCTCTGGGAAGATGACAAACACCATCACATAAGCAGAGAACCAGCCCTGGGGAGAACATGAACAAACACATCACATAAGGCAGAGAACAGCCTCTGGAAGAACAGAACAACACATCACATAAGGCAGAGAACAGCTCTGGGAAGACGAACAAACACCATCACATAAGGCAGAGAAGCCCTGGGAATACAGAACAAACACCGTCCACATAAGGCCAGAGAACAGCCTCTGGAAGACAGAACAACACCATCACATAAGGCAGAAACAGCCCTCTGGAGAAAGACGAACAAACACCGTCAATTAAGGGCAGAGAACAGCCTCTGGGAAGATGAACAACACATCACATAACGGCCAGAGAACATGCCTCTGGGACAGACGAACAAAACAACCCATCACATAAGGCAGAGACAGCCTCTGGGAGACAGAACAAACGCCGTCACTAAGGCAGAGAACTGCAACGGGCAGGAGATCCTCAGATCTCATCTTGGAGCATGTGAGTTTCAATGTTTTTGATACTGAGGAAAAATTTCCCACCTCATTTTATGGTCGCGCCCTCTCATTCAAAACTCTTTTCTAAGATTCTATACTGTGGTGCCAGGACAATCCTAGGTGGTGGGACACAGGCCTGAGACACAGAACAAAAACCTGTCGCCTCCCTGAACTACCACTCATCTCAGGGATCATCAATAGCCTGCGTGCGGCTGTCCTTGGTAGGTGCATTAGAAAGGGCTCTATGCCAAACACAATCGTCCCTGCGTATCGTGTGGCAGGTTGGGTCCAGGAACCCCCATGTGATACCAAGTCTGTAGATGCTGCAAGTCCTCTAGATAAAAATGGAAGAGTATTTGCTATATACCTATGCGCCACATCCTCCTCTTACTCCACATCATCCTCATTTAAAGTTTTACATTTTAAGGGCTTTACAACAACTGCCAGGATCACTCCATAGTACCTAATACACATGTAATGCTTACGGTAATAGCTGTTGTATAACTGTGTTGTTTTAGGGAACAATGACGAGGGAAAAAAGTCTGCATATTGTAAAAGGA